CTGTTTCAAAAACATGTCGCCTTAAACTTAACAATGAAATGAGTATCAAACATGCTTATTCCGATGCAAAAAAATGAAATAAAAATAAAAATCCCCCCCGCTAAAAAAATCACCCGCCCTAAAAAAGGACGAAACAACAACATCTCCCCCTACAAAAAATATATTCCCAATATACAACAAAAACAATTTTTGTTACCATGACCGTGTCTGATTGTTTCAGACACAAATCAAAGAAACCTGTCTTTAGTCTATTCGTTGGTCATTTTTGACCATCGTGTGTCTCTAGGCAATACATACCATTCAAGGCTAATCTGTACATGTATTTCAAAAAGCCTATATAAAATATATATAGCTAAGTACGCCATGCGTATTTCTCTCACTCTCTCTCTCTAGATAGACAGACAGACAGACAGAGAGACGAATCTTACAACAAATGACATGATGTTAGTATATAGGATATGATGAATTATCACTCCATATGATAATGTCTGCCTTTTGATGGGAAGGGTCTCCAACCACCTTTTGGATTAGGAGGTTTGTAATATCTTAGAGATAAAAGATCAAAGACTCTACCATGGATATTCAATTGCTTGCATACTGTACAGTAGTCAATTATTTTGTTTTCTTGAGCACAAATATCATCGGAGCAGACATGAATGGAAGATAAACAGAGCACTGTGAGACAAATACCCCGTTTTGTCAGTCATCGTTTTCAACAGCTCTGTCAATCACCATTTAGTCATTATTGATGTCAGAAAAAGAATTTTGTGTTCAAGTTTGTGCTACAGATATATCGCATACACACAAAGCTAATCAGCAACATAGAAAACATGTATGACAGATGCGACTATTGCAGTTGTCAGTGTCAGCGAACTCCATTAAACTTAGTAAAATACTTAAGTTGGGGAGACCGAATGTTTAGGAAAGGCAGTATTTATTCAAAGAATGAAGATAAACAGCGCAAATTACACGCATAATACATTTATTGACATTAAACACTAATTATGCACAAAATCACACATTCCCACTAATACTTCCATTGACGATAATACAATCATAAATCAAATACTAAGAATAATAAAAACTGATTCAATTCTATTGTTTAGATCTCTTTATTAATTATCCTCACCAAAATCAATTTTTTTTCCACCTGTATCCTTATCCTAGTATTATTCCAAAGTTTGGCCCCATGAACTTACATTATTTACCATCCATAATGCACCACTAAATATATATATATATATATATATATATATATATATATATATATATATATATATATATATATATATATATATATATATATATATATATATATATAATTATTTCCTTCACAGGCTAGGCTGCCACATATACTCCGCACTTGGAAAATACTCTTCACGGGTCAGAACGCTCAGCGAGGTCTGTGACATGGCATGACACACCTTCCTGTTACTGACCGCTTGATATTCCCAAAACACAATAATACATGAATATAACTACGAATAGTAGCTCTCCACGGAGTATGAGTATGTTATAAGAACAGATCCCCCCCCTGAAATCGTAAAGTCAGGGTTGCTCACTGAGTATATCCTATGTTCATTATTGTTCCTGTTTTCAACCTATATGGCCACCATGCAGATTTACAATATAAACACAGAACGATAGTAAAAAAAAACAAGGCGACGAGCGATTTTATAGTCAACAACATTAGAGATTGGTTTAGACCCACAGTCGGAGTCAGGTGTGGCTTCTCTCACATACTCTCTTGAGCATCTACCTGGAAAGGATCATTTCCGATGCCTTGGAATACCATGACGGCAGTGTCAGTGTTGGAAACAAGAAAAATTCCAGCCTGATGATATGATTATTCCGCAGGAGATGTACAATAACTGTACATTTTAGTGAACCGTCTTAGCCAAGCACCACATCAACATTATTATTGGATCCAAGACCAAGCTCTCACGTTATGTCTATATTCTTGCATGCGTGCGAGACATGTACCATGATATCATAGCTAGAAAAGAATAATCTTTGTTTTAGAAAAGAGATATTATTGAAGGATCCTGAAAAATCCTATACTTAGAAAAAGGTCTTTAATGAGCAGGTGAGCAATAGAATCCAATGATCAATTAGACCAGACCAAAAAAAATCTGCTCACCAAAGTAACGAAACGCAAACCTTTTCCTGCTGCACTTTCTTTATTTCATTTTGCCATGTTAGAGTTTTTTCAACTTCAGTTTGTCCGAAGCAGTAATAATAATAATAATAATATATAAGCTGCCATAACGATTTTCTTACATTAAACAGGAGAGAGAGAGAGAGAGAGAGAGAGAGAGAGAGAGAGAGAGAGAGAGAGAGAGAGAGAGAGAGAGAGAGAGAGAGAGAGAGAGAGAGAGAGAGAGAGAGAGAGAGAGAAGGGGGTGGGAAGAAGACTACAGTTCCAAGCAAGAAAAGGCAGACAAATTCGTTGCACACTAGGCAGCAAGCAAAGACTAGATAGCTGAAAAAGCACAATCCATTCCAGCTATCTTTGTTTGAAATTGTAATGTTAGCCATAGCTATGCTATGTTTCAGTTACTATTGTTTTGCTAGCTACAGAACTTGCTATCTATAGCGCAGATGTGTTCTACCAAGTTTGATGATTTCTTTTGTGCCGCCTTGATTGACTGCTGCTGCGTTGGAATCAAATTAATCCTCATTGGTATGTATCCTATTAAATTATATCTTCGGATACGTTTAAGGAATTCAGACTATATTACAAGATCAGTATTATTTTTTCACTGAGAGAATCAAGTACCAAAGCTCTATGCGAAGAGACTACGACAATAGGCATGATAATTTATATCCACAGCTGGTGTTATGGCCCACTTCATTTCGATATCTGCCATATAATCTTTTGTGAGTTCCATGTTTACAACTGTCAAAAGTGAAATGTAGAATACAATTGAGCAAATTCCTCCAACGATATCTGTTTTCAATTATCTGCATCATAATAATTTTGCATGACCTCCTATAGCATAATATGCGCTCACAAATTACTTCTGTTACGTGGCGCAAATTTACACTCGAGATGCAGTCTGTTTCACTGTTTCAATGCGTGTCAGCCCATATTCATATCGACCTTCTTTACTCCAATAGTCTTGATGCATCACAATGATATAATACAAAATTTCTTTATATGAATTCACAGTTACTCGAATACAAAAGCTACATACGAAAGTTCCAGCAATTTGTAATATTCAGTTTGGATGATCGTTTGAGTCAAGCTGTCCAATAGATCTCTATCTTTCTTACTTTGTCTCTCTTTCTATTTCTCTCTTTCTCTCACTCTCTCTCTCTCTCTCTCTCTCTCTCTCTCTCTCTCTCTCACAAACACACACATAAGCACATACACGACGAAGTTCGTGCCACCCGTCACGCATTAGTCATCAATATAGTTATCTACAAATTTGTATTGATCTTAAATAAAACGTTAATCGTGGTTCTAAAATCTAATGCTAAAGTACCATTATCAATTGGGAACCACTCCGGTGGCCTAGTGGTTAGAGCGTCCGCCTCGGATGCGGGAGGTAGTGGGTTCGATCCCAGGTCGAGTCATACCAAAGACCTACAAAAATGGTACTAACAGCTGTCTCGCTTGACGCTCAGCATTAAGAGGTTAGTGTTAGGACTGGTGTCAGAATAATGTGACTGGGTGGGACATCATGCTACATGTCTGCGTCATGATGCCCCAGTGATAGACATCATTATAAAAACTGCCACACTGCAGACATCGTAGCGATATGACTGAATAATTGTTAAAAGTTACGTTAAAAAATTATAAACACCACACCACCATTCTTGATTGTTGAAAAATCTGCGCATTGACTGTCATAACAAAATGTTCAAAAGAAACTTATTGACTTGTATAATGTCAAACTGGCACTAATATGGCGATGAAATGCCGATACTCCCTCTTCTTCACTCATTTGAAAGCTTTCTTGATAATATCCAGGGACACTCAAGTCGAGTGAAATGACTAAATCAACTGAAACTTTCAAATGAGAGAATATGTGGATGTTGTTTTGGATTGATTGTATTGGATTGATTTATGTGTCTCATGGAACCGCTTTATTTGGCCACAAACCTACAATTAGCCACAGGAGGTAGGATCGAGTTATTACATGCAGGCCAATATAGAATTTGACCTGTAAATATTCTGTAAATAAAGCCGAATTGACCATTAGGTTGCCCGTATCTCAGGATCTGCGATAAATATCGGCGTCGAAATTGTACACCGATGTAATGCGGGCAGATGTGTCTGCATCAGTTGCGCCATTTAGTATGTGACATTTGACCTCAAAACTGTCTATCGGTATCAGCATATGTTTGGGGTTTATCGACCTGTATTCCTTGTACTTTACATATAAACAAATAAGGTTAGATGGCGTGCTTAGAAGATCATATGCTATCAACAGCGTCGGCATTTATGATGTTCAAAGGTTATGGTACGACTCCATTTGCAACCGGAAAATCTTGTTTGACTTTTGGTTGCAGCTAGCAGGGAACAATTTCATCGGTCACAAATCGAAACATTAAATGGCATCGGAGTGAAGTGGAAAATGAAATTTTCATTTGTCCTCCTACCAACTGCAGTGATGGATTATTTGCGCAAAGACCTTAAACAAAAAAGTTTACGTATACTACGAAACCGTACACCTGCTGATTCTGTTCCCAGCTTCACCGCTGATGACACAAAGAGAAGAGTTGTTCCAAAATGTAAATTATCTTAAAGGTCAACGCAGACAAGAAAGCCATTTCAACAACCGATTTTTAAAATATGACATATTTTTTATGCACAAAGTATAGTAGTATGTGTGTGTATGATTTATATTTTTAACTAAGCTTTAAGAATTTTTCCAGTCATATTGCTACGAAGTCTGCAGTGTGGCAGTTTATGGTGATGTCTAGCACTGGGGTATCATGCCACAGACATGTTGCAAGTCAGCTGTTAGTACCATTTTTGTAAGTCCTTGTTATGACTCATACGGAGGTCGAACCCACAACCTCCTGCATCCGAGGCGGATGCTCTAACCACTAGGCCACCTGAGTAGTATCAAAGTATAGTAGATTAACTTTCAATTTATCTATGACTTTTACAGAATAAATTAGTGCTAGACGTTAAAAACATTTAGAGACGTATTATAGATAAAAGCAGCTCCAATTACTCCTATTGAAATATAGAAGAAACACATTCGGCTACAATGTCGTTTATCCGTTTTCAACAGTGAGGCTCCAAATTTTGTTTCAAATTCTTACGACGTTTCAAGCAGAAAAAAGAACAAGACAGAACAATATAGTTTAGACTGTTCTTGTTCAAAATCAGCCAAATGATTACTAACATAAATCTATTCGGCACGTTATCAAGAGATTAGATCTTCGCTTCATTTAAATATAATCTTTAGCTTAAATATCAAAATAATTTCTTGCAATGAAGACTTTTAAACACAGAGTTAGCAATACTGTACGTTAATGCGCATTATCCATTAGTGAATGTATTTAATTACTGTAAGTCTATTCAGTTTTCCTGAAATGTGATTATAAGTGGAGTTTGTGTGCATCCAGTCAGTTTATTTTAAATTGAAAGCTTTGTTGATATAAGACATTTGAGTACGCTGAAACCGTAAGGAATTCAAGAATAGTTATCATTTACAGCAGACTACACAATTATTTGTCCCAAAATGCTTCCATATTAACTGTGATCTACCCATGTATTAATTCTTAAAGAAGGTTTTCAGTTGAACACAAATACATGCTCAAAAACGGTATTATTTTTGTTAAAAAAACACCCACCCCCAAACAAATAGCAAACTAAAACTTCAATAAAATGTTCTAAAGTACATAAAATTTACTTTTTGCCTGTAGCAATAAAAATGTGTAAGTATGTAAAGTAAATGTGATACTGCACACATTATCGATGCATTTGTGTAGGTAGTTTGGTATCATTTGGTGAGAACAATGATTATTTTAATCCGAAATTGCAGTTGTTTAAACTTTGTAACCTGAACGAATGAATAAAAAAAGCCTCACGAACTATGAATATTATAATTTGGAGAGAGAGAGAGAGAGAGAGAGAGAGAGAGAGAGAGAGAGAGAGAGAGAGAGAGAGAGAGAGAGAGAGAGAGAGAGAGAGAGAGAGAGAGAGAGAGAGAGAACGAATGAATAAAAAAGCCTCACGAAATATGAATATTATAATTTGAAGAGAGAGAGAGAGAGAGAGAGAGAGAGAGAGAGAGAGAGAGAGAGAGAGAGATGAATACAAATCTTATTAGTTTCAACAAGGAAAGTAAAAAAAAAATATTTGTTAAAAGAAATATTTTAACAAGCGTGATGATTGTCATTTCAACATAATCTTCAGTTTTCTCTACCTTCAAAGACTCCATTTGTTATAGGACAGAGACTTTAAATTCCACAGGAAGAAATAAATCTTTTCAGAAACAAAGTATATCCGAAATCGAACATTTTGTATAAATCTAATAAGCTTACAATTTACGTGTTTTCACTTTCTTGTCAAAACTAATTTATCAAATAAAGTGAATTTCAGGTTTAGATTCGAGACTGGCTCTTATCGGAGAATTAAAATTAAATCAACATTTCTGCAAAAACCCATCTCTATTGGGTGAGAAAACAAGAAGCACAAAGTTCCTTGACATAATTAGAATTTTCCACAGGCTTTCGGAAAGTATTTTGACGTCGAACATTAATGCAGTCTAGGCCTAACTAGATTGTATTAGCACCTGCATCAAACAAATTTGTCAGCTTGGAAAAAATACGGCAAAGTGTGTACCATTTGTGGATTGTTTACATCCAGGAGGATAAATTTGGATCACATCTGCTGAAAATATGCTGCCAGCAAAAATAACGTCTACAACAACATCCAACAACCTGATCTTAATTGATTCTTTCTGCTAAGTTCAAGTTTTATTTATGTTTACCATAAAGGTGTGAAATATCCTGCTTTCTTTCCATTTTGTATTGAACAAACATTACCTGGTGCCGCACGTTTTAGGGCGCCTCTTTTTCGTTTTATTTCGCATTTTCACCAGGCCCTGCTTCGAATGTCCGTGGATTTCATTTTTGGATGCCTGTAAATGATATCATACAATAACGATGACGTGAATGGAACCGTTACGATTTTACGCCAGGTTCCCTGTAAAGTTTTTAAGGCGACAAAAATAATATTTCCAAAAGAAACGACGAATACTGAAGACATCGATATAAAAAATGGTATCGATTTTTATCTGCTTTAAAGTCCCTGTTATTATAACAATAATAACGTTATTATCCACACTATGGTTTGATGAAGTTTCACCACTAATAAAGTTAAAACGTGGAGACTGAATAATCCCCTTTCATGCAAATCATTAAAACTTTCTCGACTGCTGGTTTCAACCATTATTTTTCACGCGGATATCTATTTTTCGTATATATAGGCTATATTGCCTGCCAAAAACTTATCAATTTGGGAACTATCGTTTCGATTACCCCCGAGTTTTCTTCAGAAGATAAAGTTATTTGATTGCAGTCAGAAGCAGACTGGTATAGCGCCTATTACTATATGTCAAACAGCGCCACATGTGAGCATACTTAGACATACAATACGAAAATATACCAAATTTCACGGTATATAACTTTATTTGGTGCAGTTATTGTTCATTTTTATTCATTAAGAATTGTTTTGTTTACTGCAGAATTATGTGACGAGATGCGCAGTTTTACTTTAGTAAAGAGCAGACATCGAAAACGGCTAATTCAAAAAAAAAAATTACTCAAATTTACTGAAGATCAGCTTTTTCCTCAACGATCAGCTCTCTTTTGATTTCCAAACAAACTGCTTGTTGGCAAACATGTATTAAACATACACTATGGAAAATCTATATTTTGATATAAGCATTACCAAAACAACTGATTTCATTCACGAGCGCTACTTCCACTAAATGAGTTTTGTCACCAGAGCTTGAACAACATCTTTACAGCGTATGTAAAGTTATGTATATCTATTTTTATATGACTGTATTTATAATATGTATAACTTTTGTTCATAGGTGTAAATTTTAGTGATTATCAAGAAAGGATATTGCATAGCTAATTTTGCGCACGGGTATATGTTCTATTGTAAGATAGTACAGTGCCTGTAGATTGTATAGGATCTATAAATAAATGTTGTCAAGTTTCCAGTAATAACGCCTATTGACATGTTTGGGGCAGTTCTCACTGGCTGGTGGGGTAAAGTTGATTCATAGAAAAATTAAGTTATTTCCTATTAGATAGGTTACGCTAATGTTTTAAAAGATGCTGCAATAACTCTCAAGGAGTATAAACTGCCTAATAAACGAGTAACACAAGAATAGGAAATTAATACGACTGGCAAAATATTGATAGAAGTATGTAAGAAAAATAATCGTAATATATATTATATATTAAATGAAATATGAGGTGATAATACAAGAATTGCTTCTATAATTTTCCGAAATGCATCTGTTATTAATCATTCTAAAGTTCTTAGCAACGCAATGAAATATATGACTGACTAAAAGAACTTGCCATACATTTTTCATTTGGTCCCTCCTTGTCGATTACAAGTTTTGGTTTTCTTCATAAAGTTAAGCTAATTTTACATTTCTGACAATAGTACATTATCAGAAAAAGCCAAGGTGGCAATATAATGGAAAGGATGCTTTGAAGAACAGATGGCAAAGAAGATTCAGGATGTTCATAATAGTATACAGTCAAAATGACGGCATATATTCATGAATTTCATAATCATTTAATGACGCTGACTAAAAATAGTTTGTCAAATGGTAAAAGCATTTGAATTTGTGATAAAAATAATAAGCGATAGTTTGGAACTAAACTTCTTTTACCAGCAAAATTAAATACCTCTATGAAAGAAATATACATGACAGTAACCAAACAGGACAAATCTTACCATCTGATTTGTGTTTATACGGTTCAAACAGACCCTTATATTCTTCAATAACATTTAACTGTTGTAAATAGCCAACACACGCTTCAGTTTTGGGAGTACATTTGCATAATGTGAGATTTCCTTACGTTGCTTCGCTGCAATATTGGTTATACCAACCATTAGCTCTGAACATCTTTAATTATGACATAAAAGGAGGATTAGCGTATGGTGTCGAGGGGTAAAAACTGAAAGTATATCCATTTTATTTCGGTATGTAGGTATCTAGATGTATGGAACAAAGGACACATTGGCTTTGAGAGAGAGAGAGAGAGAGAGAGAGAGAGAGAGAGAGAGAGAGAGAGAGAGAGAGAGAGAGAGAGAGAGAGAGAGAGAGAGAGAGAGAGAGAGAGAGAGAGACTTGTTTATAAGATAGAAGATTTTTGTCACAAACGACATGTCTTCTCCACACTGTATTTTGAATGAACATACTGTCAGAAAATGTCAAGCCTACTTCACATTTTTTACGTTTATGCTTATCCAAAATACAATATCTGAGGGACTCTTACTTTGTTTTCGTTTTTACGAGTCTAGAGAATGCGAAACCTATGCAGCATTGTTTTGCTTTCAGTTCTATGTGTCCAAATCATGTAATGCCTATGCAGTGTCACTTTGTCTTCATATCTGCAAACCAAGATCATCCATACACTATGCGGTGTCTTCATTTGATGCAATACATATGCTGTGTCAGTTTGTCTTTATTTCCTCAAAAAAAAGATAATGAAGTACATATGTGTCGTCGTTTTGCCCCATTTCGAAAATTCAAGAGAATGTAATACCTATGTGGCGTCAATTTGTCTTCATTTCGTCAAGATAATTCAATACCTATGCGGTAGAATAGAAAGTAATTAGAACGTTAACCAAAACTTAAACTCTAGCACCTTCTTGTAAAAGGATATAAAAATATTTTGGGGAGTGAAAGAGAATCGTTATAAGTAATTAATTTACTGACTTCCTTAAGATAGATCATTTCTTAATATGTGGATTCTTTCGATTCAGTTTGTTAAGCAAAACGAAAGTTTTACATGCGGTTACTTAGTTTTGTCCAGGGAATCTATTGTCTTATTGACTTGAAGAAAACGAATATC